AGCCAAAGCCCGGACCCCCCTGCCCTGGGCAGGGAAGGGGTCAAAGCCGAAGCTCGAGGGCTTCAGCCCCAGCCAGGGGGCCTGTAACCTGAGCCCTGCCGCCCAGGGCTGAATCCCTCAGGCTTCAGCCCCGAGCCCCAGGAAGCCTTAAAATGGGGTCCCGACCCCCAGTTGGAGAACTTCTGCTCTAGTGCAAACCCCTGATGTAGGTGCACTGCACTGGCACAACACGGGCTTCCCCCAGCTCAGCAAGGCTGCGCTAGGGCCCTGCACTAGCAGAATCAATGTAATTCAACTGGGGCAAGCCCATAGCAGGTATCGCTGGGGCCAAGAACACAGCCTGATACAAAGAGGGGCCGGAGGTTTCTACGGAGAACAAGACTATCTGGCTCTATTGCAGGAAACACTAGCGCACTCTGTGAGGGACCATACCCTGCTGTGTCAGGATCACACGAGCTCTAACAGGGGTCAGGAGGAGATTTCCCCAAGGGGAGATTATCCCATAGCTGCCCACTGCGGGGTTTCTTCCACCTTCCTGTGAAGCCACAGTCAGAGAACGGATACTGGCCTAGATGGATCAGGGGCCTGATCCAATGAGGCCAATGTTACATCCCTAGTTATGTCACGAGGGTGTAGAGTGACCAGACAGCAAGGGTGAAAATTCAGGACGGGGGTGGAGGGTAATAGGAGCCTATATAAGAAAAAGACCCCAACATCGGGACATCTGGTCACCCTACTAGGGTGCGTCTACACTTAAAATGCTCCAGTGGCCCAGCTATCTATGCCGGCAGGAGGGACTGAGAGGCGGTAGCTAGGTCAATGGACGAACTGTACCGTCGACCCAGCGCTGTCTACCAAGGGACTTAGGTTGCTGGTGGGTGGGTGGGTGTTTCACACCCCTGAGCGACTTAGCTATGCCGACCTAGTTTTCTAGTGCAGACCTGCCCAAACACAGCTCAACCCTGATAACGAAGCCCAGGCAGAGAGTATATTAGTGTGCCGAGTGCGACGGTCCCACCCAGCCAGTACTCACGCCATGATGCCGGAGAGGTGGAAGAGCTCGGCCGACAGGTATGCCATGTAGCTGTAGAGGAAGACGAAGAGGGGCTCAATGACGCGGATGTGGGAGGTGAAGCGGGAGGTGAAGGCGGCAATGACTCCATAGATCACACCAACGAAGACGCCGCCCAGGGACACCACGAAGAAGCTGAGGAAGCCCAGGATGATGTCAGTAACCGTCACCTGCTCGAAGTTGGCAAACTCTTCGAAGAGGTGGTAGAGCACCTGGAAAGGGAGAACATAACAATGGGCCTACTGGGGCAGACCAAAGGTCCATCTAGCCCAGGGGGCTGGTGAGAGAGAGAGGGCTGTTTCAAGCAGCCAGCCACGCTCCTGTGAAGCACAGGGAGGATGGGCTCTCCCCTCAGGGGAGCCCTGATCAGAGGCTGCCAACGGGAGATCTGCATCAAAGGGACTATGCATTAGTCTGCGACATGGCAAGGAAACACACAGCTAAGCCCCTGGTTCCATTGCCAGCACCCGCCCTGCTGCGTGCAAACCCTTTGGTAATTGCCATCCTGGAATATTTGTTCCATCAAATCTAACGCAAAAGCAAGTGGCGCTCGGCTGCGTGCGACATGCAAACACCCCAGGGACGCAGCAGCTGGGAAAGGATGCGGTGGGGGGAAAACTAGCCCTACGAGCCACCTTCCCTTCTGGTTCACTGGTCCTTCACTTGATCTCAGCACCCTGCCTGCAGGGCGCACGGCTCTCCAAAGCAAGCCTCGCAGCTCTAATCGTTTGTATTCCAGGAGGGCCCAGAAGCACAGACTGCGACACAGGCCTCATTGTGTCTGTACAGCTCCTAGCACCGGAAGACAGAGCCCCCGCTCCCAAGAGTTTGCAGTCTAAAATGGACAAGGCACTGGTGAGACCTCATCTGGAATATTGTGCGCAGTTCTGGTCTCCCATGTTTAAGAAGGATGAATTCAAACTGGGACAGGTGCAGAGAAGGGCTACTAGGATGATCCGAGGAATGGATCATGTCTTATGAAAGGAGACTCAGAGAGCTTGGCTTGTTTAGCCTAACCAGAATGCGGCTGAGGGGAGATACGATTGCTCTCTATAAATATATCAGAGGGATAAATACCAGGGAGGGAGAGGAATTATTTAAGCTCAGTACCAATGTGGACACAAGAACAAATGGATATAAACTGGACATTAGGAAGTTTAGATTTGAAATTAGACGAAGGTTTCTAACCATCAGAGGAGTGAAGTTCTGGAACAGCCTTCCAAGGGGAGCAGTGGAGGCAAAAGGCATATCTGGCTTCAAGACTAAGCTTGATAAGTTTATGGAGGGGATGGTATGATGGGACAGCCTAATTTTGGCAATTAATTCATCTTTCATTATTAGCAGGTAAATATGCCCAATGGCCTGTGATGGGATGTTAGATGAGGTGGGATCTGAGTTACCACAGAGAATTCTTTCCTGGGTGTCTG